AATTTAAAAAAAAAAAAATAGCATAAGCTCATGCTTGACCATTTCAGGAGCCCCGACCGCCTGCTAGGCAAGCGGTCGAAACCTTGCAGATGGATTTACGCTAACGCTAAGTGTCTCACACACACACACACACACACACACACGCACGCACACGTTCATGCTTCACACTCACTAGCGGTGGCAGGAAGTTGGGCCTTTCCTGTAATAGACACTACAGGATGTGAGGTTAGTGACTCGTCATGTTTCAGTATATCATGAATGAGGGCTTATTTTTAAGCACGAGAATCGTAGTAATCATCATGCACAAGTAATGCTTCAGTCTAAGTCCTACATGTGTTGAATGAAGTGAAAGCAGAGAATAGGGAATGGGGGCTGCTCGAAAATGGCAGAGCAAATTTGCCCTATGATGACCGATAGAATTTGTTTCCTTGAAATAATTTCTGAGCTCACAATATCCAACCAAATAAAGTTTTTGCTTTACCACATGTGCCTGTATAATGTTCATTTACAGAATGTTGCTAACAACCCTGCCAAATAAATGGATGATAATAATAATCTCACAGCATAACAAATGATACTCCTAAAGCCCCATGTTTGACCTGCAAAAAAACGCGTCCACTTAAAGCCTCCCGTCGCTTTTCCATTCCATGACAACAAGGCACTCTAAAGTGGCCACGCCAGTCCAAAGCACAGGTCTGTATACTAACTGTCAAGTCAGACTTTTTTTTTTCACCATTTTTTGCATTTCTCACTGTGATGTGCGTGCACTCAAGCCTGACAACGAAGTGCTCTATGTCGGACACACCAGAGCACTATCAGAAGGAAAGATGCATTTTTGGGGTGCAGGCATAGCGTCACAATTGCACAGCATATCCAAAACAAAAGGACTCAAGTTTTTATATAGGAGAGTGGCAGCTCATGCTGGGGTCCAAGTGCATCACTGGGGCTAGTTTTTAAGCCCCCCCCCCACCCCCATCCCCCAAAAAAACAAAAATCATGAAAACTGATGGGCGGCCCGGTGGTCTAGTGGTTAGCGCGTCGACCTCACAGTGCAGAGGTACCGGGTTCAATTCCAGCTCCGATCTCCCTGTGTGGAGTTTGCATGTTCTCCCCGGGCCTACGTGGGTTTTCTCCGGGTACTCCGGTTTCCTCCCACATTCCCAAAACATGAATGGCAGGCTGATTGAACACTCCAAATTGTCCCTAGGTGTGAGTGTGAGCGCGAATGGTTGTTCGTCTGTTGTTCGCCCTGCGATTGGCTGGCAACCGGTTCAGGGTGTCCCCCGCCTACTGCCCGAAGACAGCTGCGATAGGCTCCAGCACCCCCCGCAACCCTTGTGAGGATAAAGCAGTTTAGAAAATGAATGAATGAATGAAAACTGAAATGGTAAAAAAAAAAATATCTAAAGTTGACCCCTCTATCTCCACAAGCTCGTAGGACATATGGAGTCACTCTTTGCACATTATTTGATAAATTATCTTCAGAGATGAAATATATTTAGAAATAAATCTCTGCATTTATTTTACGGGCCTTCACATGCGTGCACATTTTCAAAGTCCAGAGACGACCATTTTCAGTGTTTACACGAAAATAATACAAATGATAATTGTGTTTTTAGAAAGCAAAGCAATTTTAATGCACACATCAACAAGCAGGTGTGATGAGAGACAAAATACAGAACTGATAGCAGAGCACAACAAAAGATGAAGAGATAGACAAATAACAAAATAAGGCTGATACATGTGGAAAATTTCGAATTCAAGTGATGTTATCTGACGTTATCTGTTTTAGCATTAACAACCTCCGCCTTAATTTTTTTTTTTTTTTTTTTTTGCCACAGGACTCCACCAACCAGCCAACAGGAGGAAAAGAAAAAGTTTAACCGTTTCACTGCCAGACTGAATTGAGTTGGCTGTGGTTGTCTGACTCAAAGCTTTTTGCTTTGCAACTCCATGTATTAGTGGTCACACTACAATGCGAGCTGATGAAAGTGTGACAGGGCCTCTCCCAGTCACGCCTGTCTCGACCACTACCTGACAAATAAAAGCACACAAGGAGGATTTGCCATACTCTTCAACTGATGAGACAAGAGTGATGACTGATTGATTTCAATAATTTCTATAAATAAAAAGTGTACCGTGACCAGAATGTCTGCATTTTCCCCAGAATGGGTTTCAGATCAAAAGATGAATGTGAGACAAAAAGTTTTCAGAATTCCGTGGCATTTACCTCTGTTAAAAAACTCTGAACAGAGCACCCTTTGTTTGAAGCCACCCACTTTTCAAGTGAGCAATAATACTTAACCCGACATTATGAAATGAACTTAATGTGAATAACATTGAATATATGATGGCATAAAGCTTACTTAACAACTTAACACTTGCTTCACAGATGAGCTTGTGTGGTTTGGATCATATCAGATCATTTCTTACGCCATACGTTGACCTTTCCATCACAGTGGTCAAGGTTAATCTCGGTCTCATCAGTCCATCAAACTTGGTTCCAAAACTTTTATGGCTCATCTCTGTACTTCTTTGCAAAACCCAATCTGCCCCTCCGACTCTTTTTGCTGATGAGTGCTTTGCATCTTGTGGTATGGCCTGTATATTTCTTCTCTGGAAGTCCTCTTCGAACAGTAGATTGCGAAACCTTCACCCCCACCCTGTGCAGGTTGGCTGTGCTGTCACTGTTGTTGTTGAGTGTTTCTTCATAGTTTCTCTCACAGTGTTTTTGTCATCAACTGCTGTGGATAACCTTGGGCGACCTGTTGTTTCTTTCCTTTTCAGGACATTCCGTATTGTTGTATTGACTATGGCCAAGATTTGTCCAATAGCTCGGATCAATTTTCACTCAGCTTCAAATGGTTTGCTTTCCTTCCATAGACAGCTCTCTGGTCTTCATGTATACTCAACGGCAGATGCCGTTTTGCATGTTGGCCCATTTGTAACGTTTGTGGGGTGAGCTGTGTAACTGAATAAATGCATTGCCACCATGTAAATTGTGCCTTGGTGCCTCGACCAAACAGATCGTTCTGCTGTTGCTGTTGCGGTGCCCGATTGCCACCTGAACCTGGACACATGCAGAGATGTTATTTTCAGCCATGAGTACAGGTTCCACCCACGCAAGTTGGCAAGCACGGCAGTAAAAACAATGGAGTGGCCTGGCAACAGTCCTGATCGCAACCCAACAAAAACTTGCGGCATAAGCTTTGTGCCGGAGCGACCGACAGAACATCACTAACTTAGTTGACTCCTGGGGGAGGAGTGGAATGCCATCCAACAGCAGCGCGTGACCGTGCAGGCTGGTGACCAGCACGACAAGTAAAAACGTTCGCTTCTACCTCATTCTCCCAGTGCCTTAAGAGAAGAATGAACTATTTGACACTGGCATGGGCGCAACCCATGTCTTCAATCGTCCTCCTCCTTCCGCAAATGCATGTTCCCTGCAAATGGGCCTTTGTTCAAAAGGGAACCAAACAGGCTTTCCAACTGTATAGCATTTATTCAGAGGCATTGTAAGACGTAAGATGCATTGTTAGAAAAAGGACATTTTAATTGAGGAGAGGCCCTAATTTGCAGTGAATGATGCATCCAGTGACTAATCGAGGCACATGGACGGATCACGGCACGTTGACACAATCGATTTAATTTACGACCTACCGAATGAGAACTTACACTGCATTGGCATTGCCTGGGCTACATGTTAGTAATTATATGTGATCACAGCGATAAGGCAGTTCGTTGATTACTCTACATGCCAATCAATGGATTCTCCATCCGGCTACCTGTTTAGAATACCTGTTGGTTTTTATTGTAGTTTTAGGGACAAATGTTAACTATAAAGAATTGTGATTAGTTATACAAAAGTGATGGCATGGATGTGACATGACTGAAGGGGAAATTAGATATGAATCTTTACCTGCTGTACTTCTCTTGCATGTCTCTTGCTGCCATCAAGCTGTTGAAATGATCCGCCTTTGACAACCAACTTGTGTTTGTTAATGGCAGTTCTAAGCAATTTAAAATGTCTTGTTCATGCCTGAACAGGACACTTTGAATCAGTGAGCCTAATGTGGCTCTTACTAACAACCCCACCCTCACTCTATTCATATAAAACACACCTAACAACTTTGCAGATGTTATTAATAAAAGATTAAAATTCAAGGTTGCCACAAGGCATGCGTGGCTTAAGGTTAGAGCAGGTCACAGACAAGCCTCTTGCACAGACTTTGTGTCCTTCAGAAAGAGACACAAACAAAGTTAGAACCCGTTTCCAAAGCTATAAATACATTTTACTCAGCTTTTTCCTCACTTAAAAACATAGAGTAGGTGCACTTCCACTGATTTGCCATTTACATGTTTTAGAGAGCTTCAATTCACACTCTAGATCAGGGGTTATCTCCCTGGTACCCGCAAGGACCATATAAGGAGCCCGCGGGCCTATTCCAAAAAGTTCAATCAGTGATGGGACATTTTAATTTCCTAGGAATTTTATAGAAGTGATCATTTCAAAAATGTGAACACTGACAGTGATTTATGGAAAAAAGTATGTGAGAAATCATTATACCATGAGTAACATCTTCACATATTTGAAAATGATTAATTATAATAACATAACAATATTACGAAAGGTATTTTGAAAAAAAAATCTGTTATTTCAGAAGTGTGCATTAAAACTGGTAGCTCTTTGGACTAATCTGTAGTCAAGAAATAGCTCTCACTTTCAGAAAGACTGGTGATCACTACTCTAGATGCTTTATGACACCACCATTGGACCACTTGACACATCCTCACGTGATAAATTAAAGAATGATTTTTGTTAAAGCTCAAAACGAAACCACGTAGAGCAGTAAAACATAAAATCTAATTGACTCACCTGAAACATTTAACTCTATGCCATGAATACATCCAGTGAGCCGCCCCGCCTACCCGCTCTTCAAAAAAAGAGCAGCTTTAACCAATAGTGCTTTTCCTTACTGAGTGAATGACTAATACAAATAAATCTCAGTTTTTTTTTCCCCAATTGCCATCTATTTATCTATCAGACCATCCATCTATGAACATGGGCCAAACTTGGGACGAAGCAGTTTTGAGTTGGTGAACTGAAAACAATTTAGAGTAATATTTACTTGAAAAAGAAAAAGTTTTTTTTCCACTTGGAAATTCTATTTAAATTTTACAAGGTTTTTGAGTACATTTTCCTTGCATCGTATTCGTTTTTTTTTTTTGTTTTTTTTTTAATCACTCAAGGAATGACCCCACAGCCTTCACGAAGGGAGACAGTCATCTTACCACCTGAGGCAAGCCACTTTGGCCATATGCTAGCAAATAGCTGGTGTCTCCAAAAGAAACCTCAAAAATCATTTGGTTCAAATACCGGTATTCTGTCTGACACTAGCAACTGTACAACGCAACATGGTAGGCGCGGCATAGCTCGCTGGGAAGCTTGGCCGTTTCCCAATCTGAAGGTTCTAGGTTTGTTCCTTACCCATTAAGTGACTTCTTTTTAATAACTACTACAATGCAAATCAAATTTACTCAAAGTGAAAAACGTTCTTTTTCCCCAAATAAATATCACTCCCAATTGTTTTTCAGTGTGAAATGACACTTGTATAAAAAAGTGAATTCCTTAGAGAGCCGTTGGTGAAAGTGAAGACCATAGGCTGGTGTACTCTCAACACTCAAATGAAAGACAACAATGAGATCTAAAGAAATAAGCCTGACTACAGGTGAAAGCTGAGGGGATCGGTTGACTAATTGGGGAGTTCAGTTAGTTCATGTGATGACTAATAACGTAGGCAACTTAATACTGAATTGAGTGATGATAGCCAAACGTGAAAATGGATGAAAACATAAACAATGACATCATTCACCGAGTACTGTAATACAGAAGGCTTCAAGGTAAAATGATCCTACTTCTTGTGACGATTCTCCCACACTCACTAAAGCAGCAATGGCGGCCACTGGTGCTGAATGTTTGTCTCGGTGACAGTGAGAACATCAGAGTGCGCCCACACAGTTTCAACCCCACTCAGACCATTCGCTCTCACCATCAACCACAATGTCATTCCCCTCTATTTGATTTGCGTCTCGTAAATATGTCTCCAGGTGTCCTCATTTGCATGCAAGGACGCACAAAAAAGGGGATACACACAAGCTGATTTTAATGTACTGATGTATGGTAAGGCTTCACATTTACCAGCGTGAATACGCAGCGGGAAACGCGTGTGAGAAAAAGAGACTCGTGAAATGATTTTCTTATGCTGTTTTGTGATCACATCCACTTACTGTACTGGCAACTGCCTGCTGGGAAATCGTGTCGGCACATTTGACCTCAAACATCACAGCTTCTCATTCCACAACTTCAGACTAAAAAAGACAAGTCATTTGTTTGTTTTTTTTTCAAATCGTAAATCTTGTGCAAAATCCGGAAATGGTATTTTAAACTCACCCCTACCGACTTTTGGTACAGAGATTCAATGCAATGCAATCGAGTCCTTCCAATCATGCTTATTTTTGATTGATATTGACAGAGACATGATGGACCCTATTTGGTAGACTGTCGCCGGTGCGCTCGGGGTAAAAAAAGGACGGAAGTTTATTTAAGTGCCAACGCAAGTCGAGTCTAGCGTGTTTGCGGCCGTGTTGCGACCCTCATGGCATTTCAGCTCATGGAGTTGCCTCGCCCCTGACTCATCCGAACAGAAAGTAGTCTGCGTTCAGCATAAAGACGTCATTTTCGTGCCGGGACAATAATATCGATCAGCGTGCTTGTGAATTTGGTAGATGCACTATAGCTCACTGAGCATTCCTGCCGCACCCCCCCCGGCGCATCTGCAAATTTGGTTACCAAGAGTAGATTAGATTTTAGACTTACAAAAAAGCATGTCTAACTCCGCCGGTGTGTTGTGGACATCATCGTATTTCATTCATAAATACTGTATGACTAACTCAGAACATTATTATCTTTGCAAAGGCAGAATTTTGGAGAAAGCTCTTATATTGAATAGCATTAGAATGTATAGTGTTGGTTAAGTTACTGTCCCCTGTCTTTGCTCTTGGAGGAAAGCTTAGCTCAGTTGAGGAAAAATGCAGAAATGTCAAACGCGAGGTTTAGACCTTCACACAAGGTTAGACTGTGTGAAGATCTTTTTCAAGGAAACCTTCACGGCTGATTTGAGTGGTAATGAAATGCTCCCGTGTATTGAAAAAATACTTGACATTTTTGCCGGGAACTATTTTGATGCAGGACAAAACATCACAGCAACCTTTTTTGAACCAAGAAGCATACTTAGCATGTAAACTCAGGAGTGGAATATAGACATAGAGATCTTAAATAAGAATTTTCAGACCAATTAAGTGGAATTGGATAATTATGAAAATTTCCCAAGAGACACTAATGTGCCACGTCTCAATGATTGTGAGTCACAGCAGTACCACATTGAGCTCACTCACTGTCCATATTCAATTATAGAGCTGTACATTATACTTTTAAAGACTTTAACCCTTTCATGCACCAATAATGATAACCTGTAACCCTGATAATATGATAGGCTGTCCACTGTAGTTAGTAACCGCTGTCCTTGAAAGGGTTACGTAGCGGTAGGCATGTTTTACTGTTGTCCTTTTACTTAACATTATACAATGTAAGCTCTAAAGTTATCCAGGTGAATGGGAAACTAGTTCACTTGAAAATGTTCAGATAATAGAATTAAAATTTTCCATTTAAAAAAGAAATAGATGTATTTTTTAAAATCCATTGTCACACTGTTGCCATCGCAAAACCTTCTAACAAAACATTTCAACATTCTGAACTGTCAAACTGGTGCAAAAGTATGTAAACTAAGGAAGACCAAATCAGCCCTGACATAAAATGAAACTACAATGAAAGGAAAATGCTCTTTGCGGCGGTGTGACATTGGCGTAATGGACACTAGAGCTGAACATCTCAATGCTATTATGTTGAAATTTGTTTGATAAATGTATTTCTTTACATCAAAGAAAAACAGGCGTACAGTATGTTGAACTATTCTGTGAAATAACAGGTTGTGTATTTGTTTTTCATTCTGATCCCCACATTTATACAGGGGGGGGGTCACCAGTCTCTACCTCTCAAGCTTTTTTTCTTGTGTCATTGACAGACAAATGCAAAAAAATGCATTCAACCTGAAAGTCATCATCACAATTTGTCCTCCTCTGCTTTCATTGCCACTGACCTCTCTCTCTCTCTCTCTCTCTCTCTCTCTCTCTCTCTCTCTCTCTCTCTCTCTCTCTCTTTTGCTCTCTCTCTCTCTCTCTCTCTCTCTCTCTCTCTTTTGCTCTCTCTCTCTCTCTCTCTGTCTCTGTCTCTCTCTCTCTCTCTCTCTCTCTAAATTACAAAACCAGTAGCAAAGAAATAACAAAATTTAAACATGCTTGGGAGGGGGGGGTTAAAGCCTTTGAAAGCAACTGTATTGGAGTGTTGCTCAATATTTTGATCTTAATTAAAGTTCAAACTTAAACTTCTTGTTTGACCTTTGAAGCACATTTTTGCAACAAAAAAATGTGGGTTGAATCTCATATTACACTTCGAGATAGTCAAACACAGTACCTCAAGCGTAGATTTCGAATGTCATCAAATCACATTAGTAGTGGTAGAGAGAGAGTAGCAAAAAAATAATAGTTTTAAATTGAAACAATAATAGTCATTTGCACTGAGCATCAAGATGGTCGGTAGTACCATATATTTTTTTACATTTATGCTCCTTTCCTGAGCCCATTCTGGAGCCTACCAGTGCCACATCCGCCCCAACGCTGACTGCAGCTTATTGGGGGAATGAAAATGCATCGGACCAAAGTCCTCCCCACCCTGGACTCACATTCACTTCTCGTATTTTTATGCAAACAGGAAATCCCTGGAAGCAGGACCACAGCGCATCCCACCTCATTTCCCCAAGAAACAAACTAAAGTGTGAAAGTAGTATTATACAGTATATACTGAAATGTGTGTTTATTTCGCCTAAAAAAAAAAAATTGTTGATCATAAGTATTTTTGTGATTTTTAATACTGGTGGATGAAGGACATTTGTCTGTTGTACATTACACACATTATAACCAGTGGAGGGAGGTTTTTCAGGTGTTTGTGCTTTAATTGAGTAGTTATTTTTTATGATGATTTAGCATTTAATATGTTTGGGTTCTCAATTCACAATGTTAGCAAAACTGTGGCAATAATCAAAACTACTGTAATCTTTACCGCTCTTTTCAGTCATTTAAAAAAAAAATATCCATGTATAATTAGTCTATCAAACAAGTACGATACATAGAACCACAAGAAAAAGTAGTCCCAAAAACCAACAGAAATGTAAATAATGGATTAAAAACGCAAATGAATAATGAATTGAGGATGATGTCACCATTTCATGAGTAAGAGTTCAGTCACTTACGGTATATCAGCATTCACGCAATGTTGTGACGTCTTCTGTAAGTGT